CCAAAAGCTTAATGATTTAGTGTTTGTTTGTTACAACTTGAGACTTCAAAATAGGTATTATTATGGTTATTTTTCTCTGATCATTATATTTTTATATTTAAATACATATACTTAGATTTAATTCATGTGTGCTTAGGAAAATAAGAAATGGGAGTTATGTTCCTATCAATATTGAAACAATTGCGACCATTCTAGTTGGGTATTAGAGGATTCACCACCTCTCTTAACCAATGAAGAGTTGGAAGCATTGCAGAATGACCTTGCAAATATGACAATCCAACCAATTTCTAGTGATATTGGTATGTTCTAATATGAGCATAATATAGTTTGTGGTTGTGAATCAATTTAATGTCTCATATTTACCATCTCTAAATTTTTTTGTTAATTATTTTTTAAAATATTGTTATAGATCAAATAGATTTAGATGAGGATGAAGATGGAGATATGGGTAATGCACAAGATACTATTGTTGATACTGTGAATCAAGAAAAAAGCAACACCAGAGAAGATGAAGTTGGTGGAGAAGACAATGAAGTTGAAGATGGATATGAATATCAAGATTATGACAATTTGACTTCATGAACATAAAAAATTATGGATCGTTGAGTATGAATTTTTGTGACTTATTATAATACTATAACTTATGAATTGTTAAGTTTCTATCACTTCTTTGAATTTACAATTTGCTACATTAAGTTTCTATCACTTATTTTGATTGTTACTAATACTTTTGTTTATTCTAAATTATTTGAATTTATAATTTTCTATATTATTATAGTTACAAATTTCAGGTAATGAATATATTTTTTATAGAAACCGGGTCAAAAGCCATGCGGTCTGACTAGTGACCCACTGGTCCGACCAATAACCCAGTGACCCAGTAACTTTACCGAGTCGATCACCGGTCTGGATTTTAAAACATTGAAACAAATAACAATCCATAAAATCACAAAAAATACAAAAGAAAAACATTAAATATATGTGAAAATCATTTATTTAATAGAAACATTTGTGTTATTGTCAATTGTACACTCATGAGATGCTTTATTTCATTTTAAGAATAAAATAAAATAAAATAAAATTTAAATTAAAAAAATAATGAATACATTGACTTTGGGAGCATGAATAAGAATCATGATGGATGGGATAAAACATATTAGTGTTTTTAAGGCACCGGAGAGATATGTGCAAATTATCCTTCTATGCCTTATGTTGTATTATATGAGACTGTTGTCCAAACAGATACTTTTCTGAACATTCATGTGTGGATATAAACTATCCCTATGTTTTTTGTTTTTGTTTTTTTGAACAGAAAGCAATGCAACATTTATTTTTATATACTATTTTGAAATGAAAATGTGAGTTGATATTCTGATGGTTAGTTTGCAAAGTGTCATTGGAGTGCTAATCCATTTTAGATGTTTTTCCATATTTTCCGACTAAGCAAATGAGATTACAATATGTACTTTTAGACCTAGTTAGTTTTAGATTTCTACTAAGCGGAGTAATTAAAATACCTGAGGCCATGTATTCTTAAGCTTTCTAAGATAGAAATAAGAATAAAGGAACTTTAAATTGTCATAAGTGTCATTTTACACTTGAAGAATGCAAATGGTTCAGGCACTTATAGTAACATGTATTATGTTATTTAGAATATATTATAAAATGAATTCTCACATTTTTATTTTGACCATGTCTAAGTTTTTTTTTAAACAAATCTTGTGCAAATATCTTATGTATGGAGACATAACTACTAAGACAGCTCACACGTTATCATTTCCTAAGGTATTTCTATCCAAATATTATTGTTTGCATGTTAGTTTATTGAGTTTTATTAGATATTATGAAGTCTGTTTACTATAGGACAATAGGAGCTATTTATTATCTATGTTTTTCTCTTATTTAACTAGAACTGTTCATAATTTAATCTACATGACCCTTAGGTTACATATTTATTTGCAAAGCTAATACAGAGTTTCTCCAAAGAGTTATCAGCATGTTCTTTCTGAAGTTTATGTGCCATTAAAGTTTTTAGAGAATTTCTGTGAAGATCAGGTACATCAAAACTATACTTGTCATTGTTAAATGAGTAAAATCTCAACTATAAATATATCATTCTCTGATACATAATGATGGAAGAATCTAAATTGGTAGTATTTATTTAATTGATAGTTGCCTCTCCTGTAGATATTGATACATTTTTTGAAGGTGTGAAAAAAATACAAGAAATGGGGGTTTGAATTGAGTTTTCCTTTCTTGAAAAATTTTCGCTTCTAAGCATTGTTTGTTAAACAACACTTCTGAATATTGCTTCTAAGCAATGCTTCTAATTAAGTTACGAAAACATAAACTATTAGACATAAGCAAAAGTAAAGAACACGTGATATATCCTAGTTCTCTTGAGAAACCTCTAAGCTAGTCCAGTCCACTCTGCCAAGGTGATTTCGCCTTGAACTCAAGGACTTAATCACTATAACTAATCTAATTACAATCACACGGGCAACCGCTAGTGACTAACATCCAATGACGCGTTCAGGGATTCAAACCGGATATAACGTTCATTGACCCAATAAAATCAGATCCCTCAGAATCTCCTACCAGGATTTCCTTTCAATGATATCCATCAGTGATCTCATAAGACTGACCTTCACTCAGTCTCCTTTGAGATATGACTACCATTGGCTCAATAGAATCCACTACCAAGATTTCATGATGACCTTCAGTCACTATCTTCTTGAGCATAGACTTTCACTCAGCCTCTCAAGGTATCATCAAACAACTGTTTGATTTATATTTGTTTACAATAAAATGCTTTTACACAAGCTGAATGTGAACAGAATTTAAGCATACATCAGAAGATCCTAATACACACTAAAAATATTACATTGTATTGTAGCTTGATGTGTGGTCTTCTTTTCTTCAAGTAGCTTCTTCTCGGACAACAACCCAAAACACTTGAATTGATGAAGTTTTCTTCTTCATAAGCTTATGGAAGATTTGTTGATCTTGATGTAGTAAAGAGAAGAACTTCTTCATCTTGATTCACCTTAGAACATTCTGGACAGCAGCCCTTGTTCTATTTTCTTCTATGATCACTTTAGAGCACAACATTTGTGTTGTGGATTTGTAACTAGAGATTTCATGATCATCTTCATTATCTTCTGCGGCTTAGCAAGCTTTGTGCAATATATGAAATTAAGTACATTGTGAATCAATGATTTCATTGTAATCATTATCAACATGATTGAAGAATCATTTTGATAATAGTTGTTCTTGTTGTTGTTATAGTGGTTGATAACCTTTTGGTTGTGTTCCAATTATGACAATTTTCATTTAAATATTGAACACCAACAACATTTTAAACATATGATTCTTTTCTTATATAGCCAAGCAAAATAGAGTCGTTAGCTATTTGAAAAAGAGTTGTTATAAATAGTACTGCTACGTCTTTTTCTCTTCCACAATTCAAGCTAGTATAGAGGTAATGGAATACGACTTTTTCGTACTGTGTAGTATTGTACCATATTAATGTTATATTCTTTCCTTCTTCACTTCAGATGCTTCTGCGAGCATGAGTTTAGAAGCAGAAACATAACATAAGGTTTTCAGAATTTTAAGTCTTCAGAGTCTTCAGAACTGCATCTTTGGAGTCTTCAGCACTTGGTCGTGAGAATCCGTTGTAGAGAATCTTGGATCAGAAGAGCTTCAAGTCTTTAGAGTCTTAAGAACTGCGTCTTTAGAGTCTTCAACACTTGGTCTTGAGAACCCACTGTATAGAACCTTGGATATTTAGAACTTCAAGTCTTTGGAATCTTCAGAACTTCCGTCTTTAGAATTTTTAGCATTTGGTTCTTTAAGAACCCTTTTAAGAACCTTGTTATTAGAAACACAAGTCTTCAACATTTAGACGTCAGTAGAAACATTGTCTTTAGATCTTTTAACTCTGTCTTCTTAAAACAGGCTGTCTTTTTAGAAACTAAGTTTTTAGCATCTGAACTTCAATAGAAATGTTGTTTTCATATCTTCTAACTTTGTTTCTTTGGAACATGTTGTCTATAGAAACTTGAGTCTTTAGCATCTAGACTTAAGTTAAAACTTCTGCCTTTAGATCTTTTGACTATTTCTTTAGAATCCGTTGTCTTCAAAAACACGAGTCTTCAGCATTTGGACTTAAGTAACAACTTCTGTCTTCAGATCTTCTGACTGATTTCTTTAGACAAACATCAAAACCTACACTTCATAGCCTTCTGGAATGTCTTTCTACAGTTCAACAGAACTTGTGTAGTGCATAAGCATAACTAATTCACTTCTAATGTCTTGGTCATGTCATTCACCAGAAGCAGAACCTTGTTATTTGTAACATATTTGAATTAATCGAAAGAAAATACTAACAAAAAATATGTACAGGTAGATAATTTTAATCAATCTAAAAAAGCTAGTTAAAATGAAAATGTATATTTTTAAAGTATTTTATATTTTTATATTTAAATAAAATTAAATGATTAATTAAATCTAGTTAACTAAAGAAACTAACTAAATAAGTTAAATCAAATAAGTGGCAAAAATTAAAGGTGACAAATAAAAACAGAAAGGTTATAACAAATAAAATGATCAATTTTAAAGCCCAGGACCCAAGATCTAAATCACTAAAATCCTAATTATAAATATTAACTAAATAAAAAAAATGAATATACATTGTGGAAGAGGAACATAGAGGCGCTGTACTTCTTGAATGATACCATGTCTCATTTTTAAAACTTCTTTCCAATTTCAAAGGACACCCAATCAGTGGATGACACGTGGTTTTGGTTTTATTAAACAAATAAAAAATAAAGCAATTTATATAGAATATATAATAACATAACAGAGAAAGAGAAAAACAAGGTTAAAACACACAAAAACTCCATCTCTCTTCTCTTTAACAACAAGATTAGTTCACACAAATTCAACCCATCTTTAAACAATACAAACAAGCAACAAAATCACTGAATCAAAGAAAAATGGATAAGAATTACCGGGATCGAAAAGCGGCAGTCTTCTTTAGAGGGGTGGCACACGGTTTTGTTTCCAATTTGCGGTGGTGGTCTGAATGTGGCACGGCTTCGATCGACGAGAGGGTGGACTTCAAGATCCAAAACATAGTGCAATGGCTGCATAATTCTCTTCTCTCGCTTTTGAATCTTTCCGCCTCGATCTGTTTAAAATTATTATTTCCTTTGAAGATTTGTTAATCGTTGTTACGGTTGAAAATCAGATGATTTACTTTGTAGAATGGATTTGTGTTGATTTGTGAATTCACTGTTGGAAAGGAAAAAACAACAAGCATATGATTTGGAAATTGTTACAATGAAGCTAGGATGAACATGAAGCTGTTAGTGAAATGTTTTTGATAATGAAAAATTTGAGTCATGTGGAAAGATTGTGTATACTTAGTTATGAATAATATTTATAAGTGCTAGAAAATTGATAAAATATATATATATATATATATATATATATATATATATATATATATATATATATATATATATATATATATATATATATATATATATATATATATATATATATATATATATATATATATATATATATATATATATATATATATATATATATATAGAGAGAGAGAGAGAGAGAGAGAGAGAGAGAAATTAAGTGAATAAGGTTTGTGTGTAATTGTGTAATATTTCCACAGTACTGAATGGCGTCCACCAAGTAAAGGGTTAAAATTGATATTGTAGAAGTAAAATAAACATCGGTAATACCAAAAACATGAATAAAAACGTAAATTATCATATACTCATCATCATGTGGTTAAAATAAAAAATAAATTAAAATTAAAGGTAATTGAAATTTAAAAAAAGAAGAGAGAAAGGGCAGCCTCATATTTAATCATTGGCCGAAAAAACAAAATAAAACTAAAAGCTTTTTTGAAAAGAAAATGTGAATTCGTGGATGATTGTCTGATGAAGACAACAACAGGGTTTGGGAAATTCATAGATTTTCTGGATTGTGAGAAATTATGGATGAAAAATTATGATGGATAATGGTCTTAAGAGATTCGAACCCACAACCTTTTACTTGCAAGCTTCATTCCTTACCAACTATGATATGTTACTCATTTGAAATAAAAAACTCAGTTGAAAATATACGAAAACGAACAAGTATTTTCTATTTAAAATAAATAAAAATTGAAATAAACTATTATACATTTTTTTAAATGAGCGAATACATTATTGTTAAAATGTTATTAAAATTGAACCAAAGAATATTATAAAAATCAATGTTGAAAATATTTTTGACTGTAGAAATAAAGGGCGGACAAATTTGGGGTATGACAAACACACGGCCTCATACTTCTGTATTTCTTCTTAACCCACAACACAGGTGCACCCCACAGAGAAACACTCGATAAAACAAACTTCTTCTCAAGCAATTCTTCCCATTGTTTCTTCCATTCATCAAACTCTGAAGTTGACATCCTATAAGGAGACATCGACACCGGACTTGTACCTGGTACCAACTCTACCAAAAACTCTACCTCACACTCTAGAGGAAAATTAGTAATGTCATCTGGAAACACCTCTGAAAATTCACAAACAATAGGTACTTCAACACTCGCAGCTTCACAATCAACTTGTAATGATGCAAATGTTGCAAACATCAAAGCTTCGTCTTATAAGAGTCTTTTCACTTGCTTAGCAGACAGAAACATCAGCTCTCCACTATCACCAAACATAGGGAACCTCACAGTCTTATTATAATAATTGATATAAATATATCTAAACTTCAATCAGTTTATTCCAAGGATAACATCAATTTGGTGTAAAGGTATACACGCCAAATCCATCATGAAAATCTTACCAAAGATAAAGGATAACTCGAACATGAAAAAGTAGTAGTAACATAACCCTTAACAGGAGTGTTTATCACCATATTGTCCTTCATAGAAGATAATCTCAATCCCAACATTATGGCACATTCAAGTGAAATTAACGAATGAGTAGCACCAGTATCAATAATAGCAATCAACTCAACATTGCTAACAAAACAATTACTTCGAATCAGATTATCCTTCTTGGGAACTTCAAAATCACTCAAAGAAAACACTCCACCATTAGTATAAGCAGCAGTGTCCATCTTCTTTGGCTTTTGACACTGGGTATTAATGTGACCCTATTCGCCACAATTAAAATAAGTCGGACCTTCATTTTTGAATTCATAAGTATGATGAACTGTCTTACCACATATGTAACATATCAGCATCTTATTGTCGCAACTATCAGCACGATGGCCTTGCCCACCATATTTAAAGCACTTGACATAAGCGGGAGCTCCTCCCCCACTTTGCTTATTCACATCAGAAACTTTCTTCTTCCCTTTGTCATCATGAGCACTATATGGCTTACCACGATCTTGGTTCTTCCCCTTCTTCTCATTATAACTCTTATAAAATGAAGATTTGGATCTAGTATCCTGGTCATAGATCTTGCACTTATTCACTAATATAGGAATTTGGTGAATCTTATGATATCCAATTCTCTGCTTAATCTCTAGACACAACTCATTCTCAAATTTGATACACTTAGATGCCTCGACACCAGATTATTATACAAAACTTTACCAACTCTTCAAACCTGGTAGTATACTCAGCAACAGTCGAATTCCCTTGTTTCAGCTCAAGTAATTCAATCACCTTCTTGTCATGCACATCTTCAGGAAAATACTTCTCCAAAAATGCAATTTTGAAAACAACCCAAGTGATCTCAGCACCCAAAATCTCCATCCTTTGATGTGTATTATCCAACTAGTTTTCAGCCTCTACTTCCAACGTGTGGTACCAAATTGCACCTTCTGCTCCTCTAAGAAATCAATCACTCTGGAGATCTTCTCGATCTTTCTAAGCCACACATGTGCACCATCAGGATCATGTGCTCCCTTAAAGATTGGTGGGTTTTTTCGCTGAAACCTTTTTAAACACGAAACTCATCATTTCCTTCGGCATTCTGGGAATTCTACTAATTTTGGGCCATTGCCTGAGCCAATGATTCCAAAGCCTCATTAATTGCATCATCATTTCTTCCTCCATCCATTTCTCTCTGCATATGGCAAATATCATTAGAATAACGAAGCATTGGTTGTGTTTACACACAAATCGACCACCAAGGCATAGATATCGTATAAAAACCTGGCCGAACAGATCGACCTGTTCTGATACCACTAATATAACACCCTTCTAATCCCACATATATTTATCATATAATTTACTTATTAAATCAAATAAAATCACCACTCAAGGGTTTCACACTTCACAAAAAACATCATGATAACAATCCTGCTCTATAACACGGGTTACATCAATAGTAATAATATCATATCATAATTTCAACAAGCCATTTAAATCATCACAACGGATTCATCGTCATAACAAAACTCATAGTATCTCAGTCTCATCAAAAGTTGGAATTAAAAACCGGCTTAGTAATCAAATTGTCATAAAGTATGACAACATAAAAAGAAATATACATTCATAAAACAAAGTGCTCCCCATCTGATGTTAAATATCAGAGCAAGAAACTTCTAATATATGAAAGCAAATAAAATACTCCAGAGTCATCTTCAATGCTCATACGAGCTACTCCTGAGCATCTGCATGTTACCCATATGGAGGCAACATTCAAACACAAAGGGTGAGTAATCACAATTCATTATAAAAGATATAAGGAACATATTAGTAGTTATAAACAACCTCATCATATAGCAACACGTCTCATTCATCAATACTTCATACTCACTGATACATCATAATAACACTTAGACATCTTTCATCATCAAATCATCATATAATCACCTAGTTCACAATTATCATCACATCATAACTCATCACCAAAATTCATGCAATGTCACGTAGGATGTTAATGAAATAACACTGACACAATACATGTGATACCAAATTTATGAACACCTGGTTCATCACCCTCCATGATCCCAACCATAAGATTGATTCTCTCTTGGAATTGGAGCATATCATAAACGAACTCAATCCATACAAAGGGATTGAGCCTTGTCATAAGTGTACCACCTTCCAAAAATGCTATGAATGTACGATGCACAACAACATCATATAAAGTTTGACCACAACTAGTCAATTGCATCAGCATTTACATAATCATCGCCACATATCATGTATACACATTAAACATACACATCATTAAAATATCATCGTGGGTAACATCAATTACATCACAACAACAATATCATAGCAACTTCACAACATCATCAAACTCATCATTAAAATAGAACATATTAGCATATCAAGCATATAATAATATAATCTCATAAACACCTAGGTACTAGAATCATGCATCAAACAACTCATATAATTCTGTCATAATGTAGTTTTGCGTGTTAGCTTTCCAACACTTTAAACGGCGCGTCAAACAGATTCCTAAAACTTAAGTTACGGCATTTAAAAGTTTTGCTGCCAGTTCTGCTAGCTTCAGCCTCGCCTGACGACCCTGGGGTGCTCTGCTCGCCTCCTCCTTGCGTGATGTTCGCCCAGCAAAATGCGCGATTGGGTTCATCGCTACTTTGCTCGCCCGGTGAAACTCTGACAATGATCCCCTCCCCATATATTTTCCATAAGCCCTCTTTTTCCACCCTTTTGCTCGCCATCTAGCTCGCCCGACAAAGCTTGGGCAACTGGCTCGCCCCTTGCTCGTCGTTGACTCGCCCAGCAACGTGTGGGGTGCAAAAACTTCTCATTTGTGATTTCTTCACTTTTCAATCACATTCCAATTCTAATTATAATGCCAAACTTACTCTAACACACATATTATTCATCATATTTTTACAACTCAACAACAACATATTATCATATACATCATAGACTTAATCAGGGTATCACAAATATCATCATCAATAATTTCATCATGTGTTTCATCAAAATCATCATACAAACAAATACCTACATCTACCTTAACCCCCATCGATCATAATAAACTGATATTACACCCCTTACCTTAATTCCTGGCAATTGATCTCTTCCTTCGCGTTCTACAGAGTTTTCCTCTTGGCCCTCTATAAGCCCTAACCTGTCTTCACATTCTCCAAAATTCCACTATCGTACATAATGGTCCCTATTTTTCTTGTTTTACTTGTTTAACCCTTAGACTCTTTCTATGGTTTTCCTCTTATACCCTCACTTAACTCACACACTTACCATTAT